ATGGGACTGATTTAGTGATTCCAATGTATTATCAGCGCGTTTTCTGTAATATACAATTTTTGTTTTATCTACCGGGAAAAAGGTTTTACTGCAAATTATATACTTTGGTTTGAAGGGCAGTTCATTTGCACGACCACATATTTATGCCATCAACAGGAGGAATATATAGTAGTACTTCACAGTTCGCTGTATTGACGTCGTATAGAAAAAAATATTTTGTTTTTGCAGTAGGTGGAAGGCATCAAAAGCCATAGTGTGTGGTTTTGAAATTACTAAAACCACGTCTTACGAGTAAATTGAGAAGATTTCGACAGCAAGATGGCAACTTCATTCCAGTAATCAAGGGAGAGAGATTTGAGTAAGAGGTTTAATACCTAGTCGACTAGGTTTATCTAAGCCTAAAACATACTTACATGGAGCGGGATTTTTCCACGAGCGCGGATGGTGGACAAGAGGTAGGCTCTATGACTGCGTTCACAAGAGCCAAGGTTGTAGAGTGAGATGATGGTGCATCCGAATCCCGCTTATGGAGGTATAGCGTGAAATATTGAGAGTGTTTGATGCACATGGCTTAGATTAGTCTGCAGGAAGTGTAATCCTATAAAAAATTGGAGTAAAAATTAAAAAGGGCTACTAGTGTTATTAAACTATATAAAAATTATAAATACGTAAAGTGTACATATTATACATCTATATATAAGGTGTTATAAAAGTACCCACAGTTTTTTAATATATTTTTAAATAAAACTTTTCTTTATGTAAAATTATTTTTAACAACATATATCACTACTTAATTGAACATTACAGACATCAATCCATCAGCCCAAACAGTTATAAAAAATGTATATAAGAGAAAGTATATCTCGTTATTGATCATTATTATTTATAACCTATTGCCATATTTCGGGTAGCTTTATAATTCCACTAATGTAGAAATTCTGTGCTTTATCGGCAAAAAAGTTAACCGAGATTATTTCCAATACTTTTTCGGTCATTTAATTTTTTCCCTTTTAAGATTTTGCAAAGATCAAAACAAATGGTAACTAAATGCTGCAAGGTCCGATCTGTGCAGTGGATGCTTAAAAACTTTTCATACAAGTTCCATCCATTTTTTCCAAATTATCACTTATATGTATAACCTGACATTGTCATGGTGGATCGCCTCTCTTTTTCTGTTGACCAAATTTGGTCAGTTTTAGTTGATTGTTTCGTTCAAACGGTCAAATTATGATTAGGAAAGTATCGAGTTAACCTTTGCACCAGACCGAAGCAGATTGCTAAAAAATTAAATATATAAATTTTCAACTTTCCTTAAATATCTTAATATACAAAGTAAATCCTTCATCGTTAATATTTTGTAACACATTTAGATGTTATGTATGATGTAGAATATATTTCTTAGATTTTTACATGTTTTAACAATATTTGTATATCAAACTAATCTCATATCACTTTTCATAAAATATATGCTTATTTGAAGCAGCACTATGCTTTATTACAGTAATATTTTATCGCAACTCAACATGCTTCACCTATATATAAAAAAGATAATCAAGTTGTAATATAATTGGCATTAATTAATTTAGTACTGTATAAAAGATCACATTTCTACGACCAGCGTTTTTTACCACTTCTGATATTTTTGCCTTAATATCACATATATCTATTTATTGGGTGATATAAAAATTGTGCTGTTTTTTAGTACACTTTTAAACAAACATATTCTTCATTGAAAAATAATTTTATTAAAGTATACCACTAAATTATTATTTATTTTTGACTTTTTGCTATTTTTTTGGGTCGCTTCATAACCCCATCGGTGTAAAACGTGCGGTTTATCGGTCAAGTGACTTTTAATTTTGCAGAGAAACAAGTGATAGTCAGATTCTGCAATATGTCCGGGTATACTATTTCCAACCGAAGTTCTGTATAATTGTTCTTTTCTATTCTGATCCATTTTCCATGATTGTTTCATTCAATCGGTCAAATTATGAATAGTAGAGAATTGGTTAACCATTGCACTAGGCTGGAGCATAACGACAAAAATAGATGTCACCTCTCAAATACTTGTTTTTTTTTTTTGTCATAACCGAATTAGTGTTACCAGATATGTGGCAGCACTATAGCAACTCTGTGGCAGCACCAAAAGCGAATGAAGCGCCAAATGCGGCAAAATAAGAAGGTTATGAGTAAAATGTCAGCGTAAAGAAAGACATAAATAAAACCGCTACTTTCTGTATATATGGTACACGCAATATATAAAACTGTTTTAATTAATCGTACTCCTGCCTATATAGAAATATATAAAGTTCAGTAAAAATTATAGAAATTCTAATTTAAAAAATATTTTTTTTATTTTTATAAAAATATTTTACTAGGCATTTAATGTTTCTCATTTAATAATCTTTATTAATTCGCAATGCCAAAACATTAATAAATGCTCCATTAACTTTTCTACCTTTTATCCCAAACAATTTTATCCTTTCAATCATCAATAAATCACTAATTGATAGATTCAATGAAATATTTAGATATTTTACCCCAAGCAGTTATAATGATAATCTCTATTAGGCTTCATTCATCATTCTTCCGTTAGCAAATATTAGTTTCATGTGAAATAATTCGCCAAATCAACCTTCTCAATTGATTTCAAACACACAAAATAATGCAAAATAATTTCCAGATTAATAACGAAAATAAGTTAATGGATACAAATGGACAGATGTGAATGACTTTTCATATTAGTTTCGAAGCTGTGATACATCACAATATTTTAGCTTAATTTTTGGATGATGAATGTTGCTATTTAGTCACTTTAATCAAAGTAAATTAAAAGGAATTTAGGTAAAATAGTTTATATAGTTTCAAAAATGAAAGAAATTCTTCTACTTGTTTAAAAAAAGAATAGAAGATTAGAAGGTGTGAGAAATTTTAAAATCACTTTATATAGTGGCAAACAGAAAGGAATGGTATGATGAAAAATTCAGTAAATGCAACGATTAGAGCTTTGATCACAGCTCTAAAGTTTTAAGAAGACATATTATTGCTTATTATCTACCTTCATAGATAGAGATAGAGAAAGAACGGGGTACTAGCTCCCATTTGAGCAGAGCACTGCGACCGTGTATCTACCTTCATAGTCAGAGGTCATAATAGATTTGTTACTAGCATATGGCATATATTTCCATATCAGAGAAAGGATCCAACAATTCAGTAGGCTTGTAGTGCTGAACTCCTTCTGAAGTGAAACGAAGGATTGTATTTATACGTGTGTATATATATACTCATATGTACTCATGTATATATGAGTATATATATGCCATATATAGCATATGGCATATATTTCCATATCACAGAAGGGCTTCAACAATTCAGTAGTCTTGCAGGATTGAACTTCTTCTGAAGTGAAACGAAGGATTGTATTTATACGTGTGTATACTTATTATTAATTAATGTATCATGATTGTTTTATAAAATAAAGGGCTGAAATCCTTCTGAAATGAATCGAAGCACTTGTGTGTATACTAACTATTAATTTATTATGATTGTTTAATAAAATAATATATTTTTTGTGTAATTATTATTTGAAATTATTTGGAAGACTTACACCCCCACAAACAGTTTGGGACTATGTTTCTTCTGTTGATTCTCACGAAACCTTCTTTATACCTAAACATAAAGTAAAAATCTTAACTTTAAGATACGCCAAATCAGATATTTAGCTTCATATTATATATGGTTATCTGTGAAATGTGAAGCTTACACCACCTCATCCTAACTGAACGTGTGCAAAAGATCGAGTCCAGTACTTCCAGACTTTCTATGAAACAAATAAGGGAGTTTGTTATTATATAGTCTAGTATATGTCGATTTTCAGGCATAAAATAACATATATCATAGTTTGCGCTGTTCTTATTGTCCTTTCTGATGATTAATAATAACTTCACTTTATTTGTATTCCATTTTGGTTCTACAAAAATCGAAGCTAATTCTTAAAATAATAATTAAGAAATCTTGGGTTATGCAGTCTCAAAAAATTATTTGCGAATAATTAAATACAAAAAATAATTCTACGACCACTAATGATGGGTACTTGGCAATACTCGAAACAGCTAAATAGTCAACCAATAACCCAATTTATAAAAAATATTAAAAAAAAATTTTTGTTGTAGTTCACTACTGTTCCGAAACCTACCTATAAAAAAATCTCTCAAGACTGTGAGCATCACTATCTCTAGGTTTTTATATCTGGAAATTCCTCTTTAAGATATTTGTTCCAAAATTTCATTCTTCTATATGGAACTGCACTATAGCTGCCATATCTCTATGAAATAAGACCTCTACACATACATCATAATATTTAGCAAATAGCAAGTACTTCTCTATTCTTCAGCGTAATGTCTCACATGCGGAATGACAGCACACCTCCAGACTGTAGCACTACTACTTATTATTCAGATACGCTATATGAACATAACATTCGTTCGTGTAAGTTAAAGTCGATAATTCTTTTAATAAAGTGAACAAAATTATATGAGTTTTTTACAGTCTCCCCAAAGCCTATGATTGGTTGATAAATTGAAAGCGGAAACTTATTAACCCAAATTTCATCTATCGATCCTAATGATAAATAATTCCACAACCTTCTATCAAAATTTAATAGAGTGCTATAAATTTAATCAGCATTAATATATATTCGGATAATCATCTAGCTAGAAAATCTTTTCAATCTTGGTTCATTAAATTAAAGTGGGACTAAAGCTGCAAAAATAACCTTTACGAATCTCAAAAATCAGATCTATTTTCACACTAAGAAAAAAGATTTACATTAAAAGCAGTCTTATGTGCAATAGACATTGCTTTATTGATTATTTGTATTTATATAACTTTAAGTTAAGATCATCTTATTTTTATTAAAAAAGGTTTTAAACCTATAATTATAAATTTTGACCAAAGTTTTAATTGGATATGAATATGAGTAAATTTTTTTTCCAATGGTATTCTGTAGAGCAAAAAGAAATTTACTTGGAATCACTACCACCTTCGTTAGTTTTATTTTCTTGTACTTGATTAATACGTTCTTTCCAAGCGAGATTAGGAATATCAGCACATCCAGTACACATGTTCATGGTATTCTGCATGAAAGTATTGCAAATATGGCAAAACTGACGTTTACAGATTTCACAATAATAAACAGTTTTATCCTTTTCAGTGAACGATGCCTGACAAGCGAAACATTTTTTAATATCTACACTTCGAGGCACTTCTTTCAATGGCTTCATTGGAAATAGTTGGGAATAAGATCGTGCTAAGTTTGCAGCAGTCATCAACTTCATACCACATATTTCACACTCAAAAGGTATTTCACAATATTTACTTGAGCATCTTGGACAGATATAACCAGCACTTGTTAATGGCGCGTCGGGTTTGCCCGTGTGGCAAACACATGGAAGTATTGCCTTCTTATCATCATTATATGATGGAAAACCTATAACAACTAACGATTGGTTTTGAACCAATGCTGCCGGTGGGGGCACACAATGCTTTAGTAACAGATCACGATAATGCGAACCATCCAACACAACATCAAATTCGCCTTTGGTTTGTTGAGTTAAATAACGAAATAAGCGCACCTCAGCCGAAAATGAAATCATGGAACATCTTATGCCTGCTTCCTTTATCGTCTCTAAGATGATATTAATATCAGATGGATCACAAGTTGACAACGAACTCATTATTATTAGTATTTCTCCTGGTACAGCAATCGACAAACTCTTAAAATGTTCTATAGCTAATTCCAGACCATTCACCAGGGATGGCTCACCAGGAAAAGCGCTATTGTTAAAACTAAAAGAATTACATATCATAAATATTAGTATTATTAAGTTATATTTATAAAGTGAAATTTCACCTTTCCAAACCTTCATACAGCTCCTCTGGTAAGTGAGTTAACCGAGTTGCATAAACTGCGCGATTTCCACGCAATAGTATTATACCCAACTTGCTAATCTGATTTTTTTCAAAATATTGATCAATAAAAGATTTCAAAAGCTTTAAAATAAAGCAAAATATTAAAGCAAATGTGAAAATATTAACTTTAAATAACCAAACCTTTTGTGTACACGCCATGCGTGAGGGTTCAATATCTGTTAATTGTACAGTTTCGGTGCAATCAATAATTAAATACAAATGGCGCATTATATTTAATCTACTCAATGGAGCGCCATCTGACCCACCTTTACGGGGCTCCTTGAGACATGTTTTCAACAAATTTGTACGCAAACGACCTTCATCGTCTTCGCGTACAGCTTCCCTTTATATTGAACATATAATTTTCGTTTTGTATTAAAAATAATACCGAAATCCAATATAAATATATATATATATAAGAGACATAAAGATAATACATTGTGTTCAGAAAAGTTATAAAAGATAATATTTGTTTACCAAGTTTTTTCAATACCACCTTCCCAAAGGAATTCGTCTTTTGAATTATCTCCTTGATCTTCCATGATTCTGTCAATTAATGTAAAAACTTACAGTACTTTTAAGCTATTGAACTTATAAAGCGCGCAAATTTTACTAGAATTTTCCACAAAAGATAAAATCTAATAACAAAATGTCTGCCATTACTATTTACAATAAAGTTCTTTATTGTGAATTACTTCAAAAAGAAAAGTGTTGCATCCGCGAATTAGTTGCACAATCACGTTGCCAAATTTTATTAGTCCTCAGGGAAAAAACTATGACGAAATAATATATAAAATCATCTCCTTGGTATGGGAAATGGATAAATTCAAATATTGGCACTATAGGTCAAAAGCTGAATACCCATTTCAGGTATCAAGGGAAAGCCAGACGCTAGAACAAAGACGGCTTAATAACAAAGCATAATATTATTAACCACATTTTAATTTCGAACCCTAATTAAAAATTGTTCCATGCTATACTCGTTGTATACCTAAAAATGAAGAATTTGTATCAGTGGCATATTGGATACCAATTTCATTTTCTACAACACCTTCATTTTAGAGTCCTGTCCAATGTTAATACAGTTGAATATGTATCCTACCTATATTCTATTTCTATTTAGTTTATATAAGAATTTAAAGATGACTATACAGTCAGCAACTTTATAATAACAAGAGATGTCATTAAATTTTGGAATATATATTCTATTTATATTCTATTTCTATTTAGTTCATATAAGAATTTAACCATGACTGTACATTTGTACAGTCAGCAACTTTATAATAACAAGAGATGTTATTAAATTTTGGAATATATATCCTACCTATATTCTATTTCTATTTAGTTTATATAAGAATTTAAGTATGACTATACATTTGTACAGTCAGCAACTTTATAATAACAAGAGATGTCATTAAATTTTGGAATATATATTCTATTTATATTCTATTTCTATTTAGTTCTTATAAGAATTTAAGCATGACTGTACATTTGTACAGTCTGCAACTTTATAATAACAACATGTCAGTACATGTTTATTCACAATGAAGGCCTTTAATGTGAACTGTCGTGCAGTTGTGAAATGATTGCACAACCACATTGCCAAATTTCCTTAAATTAAGTTAAAAATGGTTCCTTTCTAAATTAGACCTATGGATGAAGAATTTGTATCAATAGCATATTGGATATCAATTTAACTTTCTATGATGGCTTCATTTAGTAGTCCTGTCCAATTTACAATACGTTAAACTTTTTCAAAAAAATTTAAGTATTATATATGTTCAGATTATTAGATAGGAGCTATTAAAGAACATTTCCCCCATTGCTATATATAGCAATAGATACCTATATGTTTACCATTTATTTTTTCCTTAAGACAAAAGAATTAAATAATGAATAAACTAATTGATTAATTAACTAACTTAGTTAATTTAATTAATTTATCAATATGAAAATGAGAATGATATTAAGATCAGATGATATGCAATTAATTTATTTTTATTACATCTATAGGTCATATGTGTAGTCGTAGAAGCTCATGAGTCAAAGACACTCCTGTGGTGTCTCACATGTGGAATGTGTTACTTTTTAGAGTGAAAGCTGGGTCCTCTCCTTACTATATGTTAAACTATGAATATTTGCACAACTGTAAATAAAACTGCACGGATCTAATAAATAGAACTCTATCCACTAGCATTACTGACAATGCCTATGCTAGGGCAGATTCATTGAAAAGTTTACGCACTTGTCGGCGTTCTTGGCAATGGCTATATTAGAGGCAATCCGTTCAGGAATTACATATTTCTAGTAAGTAGCACCCTATCTTTGGGCGTTTCTCCGCATGCCCCATATTATCAAATATATTGTCGTTCAATAAATTTTTTAATCTGTCTTTAAGATAATGTAAAATAAACAGAATTATTCAAGGAAGATGATACCTCTAAAATCATATTAATAAATTATCGAACACTGGAATTAGATTGCAATTCACTAAGACTTATAAGTAACCTCACACTTCTAACTCGGAATTATGTAATTTGCTAGTGTTTTATTATATTTAACTCATGGAAGATCTCATGTTAAAGATCTCGCAGAAGAATATGTGAGATTATAGTGCAGATTACTGAATAGAGTTTGACTGACACTTTAAAGTAACACCCCAACCCATTCTAATTCGGTTTTGTTTAATTTACCAGTGTTTATTCTATGAGTAATGACTATGAGAAATATTTCAGAGTCTATTAGAAATTGACTACGATCTATAAGTAACCATAAGTAACCCCAATCACTTTTAATACTGATTTATTTAATTTACTAGTGTTTTGTTGAGTTAGAATGGATTAGAAATAACTTATTGTAACTACTAAAAGAATAAATTTAACTAAAAGTTAATATATAAAATATCCTAAATGATATGAAACAAATTTTATCTTAAATTTTTTGGACTAACTACTTTTGCTGCCAATCATTAATTTATTTCTTAGTTAGCACAATTTTGGTCCACTCATTTTACCTACAGCTGCCGAAATCTAAGCACAATAATATAATACATCAACATGTCAGACGAAACGAAACCAAAGCAAAACACCAGAACTTGGATTCATCAGTACGTCAGTTTGTTTCGGATTTCATTTAAGCCAAGCCAACTCAGTTTGGAGTAACCCAAATTGGCAACGCACGCAAATCCGCCCAAATACACGTGCGAAACCGTGTGGATTTCGGCCTTTCGAAGTAATAAGCGTCATATTTATTAATGACGGCGGAATATTGCGCTCATATATACGCTAATGCAAGTATACTATAGGCTTTCAACATTATTGATTACACAGCGAAATTAGATTAATGCGTTGTATGTAGTGAGCCGCAAACTTCAATACTTCCAAACTACACTTGACGAAGTAACATATTATTTTGATGTGGCACCATATGAGCTGCAATCCAAGTTACGCCGATAGGCAATATTAAATTGCAGTTCGAGGTAAATGTACGCATGTTTATTTAGAACTCCGGTACAAAATCGACAATTTGCTGGCAACAAGTAACAGAACAACAAGAAGAGGCAACACACTAGCCCTAAGCGTACCTCATGCTATAAACGACGACTCTGCGACACCGGAGTAGCGCGCAGAATGGCGTAGAATAGGTTACCGCGTAGAAGACTCTACTAACATGTATCGAGCCTTCTACTCTAGTGTACCAAATAATAGACCAGAACGCGTAGTTCGGCTGTAATGTAATCAAATTACCAATTAAAAGTTACTACGTCTATATATAGAGTACACAAATAGCAATCGGAAGCACAGTATGAAAAATTAAATCCAAAAAAAAAAATAACATCAATTCTAGCACAATTTTTCCATGCATCGAATATTGCAATTTATTCTTACTCATTTTACTGCACCTGATTTTAAAGTTCTCCATGTCATCTGAAGCGAGCGAGTATTGGTGTTGGTGTTGGCGTTGGCGTTGGCTTCGAAATTGTATGTATGACAATATTTCCAGGTCACAAATTAGGGGCCGACCAATTGTTACCGCATTTGCATTTAGTTGAATTAGCCGAATTTCATTCACTTGGCATGATGAGGCTTTGTGGCGTTGACAACGTTATAATTAATGCGGATGTAATTGCATTAGGATTACCAGTGCTGCTCGTACTTGTAGCCAGGCACGCATTAATTGGGGAAGCAAGTACTCGGTAGACTGGCAACAATGCAAATTATAAATGTATTGTCCTGCCTATTATCAGGTGCCCATTGTACTTAGGCTCGTTTATGATAATTTCAAATTTATTTCCTGCAGATTAACTTATAATAATTTGTGTATTAAATTTCATGTCCCACAAAGTCTTCATGTTAATTTATCTGCAGAAATTAAATGTATTTTTAATAGAAATTTACTGGTATTGGTTTGTAACTACGAATGCCTGTCAGTTGCGAGTATACGTAGTAATTTCTGAAAATAATTACAAAATATTGCACAACATGTTCTTAAATTATTAACAATTCTGTGATACCAAATTTGAAAATTAATTAATACGAGAGTATATGTTGAGTCTATTACTTATTTAATTAATTTATTTTGAAATATGTAAACTATACGCTATGTTATTTACAATGTAAATTAAAAATTTGACATTGAGAGCAACAGAAAATTCTATTAAAATTTGTTTACGGTGACGAAACTCAGTAGTCAAAAAAATGTTGCTCTCAAATCACGGTGACGAGAGTCGATAGTCAACAAAATGTTCCTCTCTAATCGTGGTAACGAAACTCGCTAGTCAACAGAATGTTGCTCTATAATCTGGGTGACTAGACTCGGTAGTCCACAGAATGTTGCTCTCAAATCACGATGAAGAGATTCGATAGTCAACAGAATGTTGCTTTCAAGCCACGGTGACGAGACTCTGTAGTCAACAGAATGTTGCTCTCAAATCACGGTGACAAGAGTCTGTAGTCAACAAAAACTTGCTCTCAAACTACAGTGATAAGACTCGGTAGTTAACAGAATGTTGCTCCCTAGTCAGGGTGACGAGACTCGGTAGAAAGCAGATTGTTGCTCTATAATTTGGGTGACTTGACTTGATAATCTACAAAATGTTGTTCTCAAACTACGGTGACGAGAGACGATGGTCAACAGAATGTTGTTCTTAAACTACGGTGACGAGAGTCGGTAGTCAAAAAAGTCTTGTCCGCTAATCTCGGTGCCAAGACTTGGTAGTCAACAGAGTTTAGCTTTCTTATCACGGTGATGAGACTCAACAGTCAACAGAATGTTGTTCCCTAATCAGGGTGACGAGACTCAACAGTCAACAGAATGTTACTCACTAATCACAGTCACGAGACTCTGTAATCAACAGAATCTTGCTCTCTAATCATGGTTTTAGGACTCGATGATGAGATTCGATAGTGAACAGTATTGTTCACAAATATCGCAAATTTCAGTAGTTAAATATATGTATTTACTTATGTGGATATGCAGATTTATTATGGTATAAATTTGACATTTATTAACTTGTTATTTTTCTATCTAATAAACAATAATTAATAATACAAAGAACAAGCCTCCATATTTCCTGGTCCTTTATCTGGCCAACAACTTCTGTGTTATTCCGCTCTACAATCGTGGTTACAACAACCCTTTGCATAGAGTTTAATATTAGTCAATAATTACTACCTAGCAGGAACATGCTCTCTTCCTCCACTCACTTATTTACAAATTTGGCTTAGATATATAGTATTTTTTGTCTAAATACTACTAAGCTCTCTGTTGAACTTTTGCATACATTTTGTCTATAGGCTTTCTCAATCCGATATCTCATAATTCTAGAATAAATATATATATATGCATTTTATTCAGTTTTTTAAACATTTCTATTTGATTAATTATTATGTTATTATATTATAATTAACTATTAAATTTCAAAAATTTTTGTTTTGACTGTACGGTTATTAATCATATTCACTTAAAATTTTTTATTTAGGTTTTTTAATTGATTGAGTAGTTTATCTATTAACATGTTGATATATCTATAAGTTTATAAAAGTATCTATTAGAAAATTTCCCATTCAATTTCATTCAATAATTTTATAAATACTTTACGTTAACTGCCAAATATCCACAATTACAACTTTAACTCGTTTTCCAACATTTTCAAAGTCGCTATCATATCTTCCCGAAACTGACATTTCATGTTAATTGATAACGGCGAAGTCTGATACGACAACGCCGTTCTAGTTTCTACTAAGTAATCAGTTACCGCTTGGCATTTCTTGAATTCACTTCTGTAGCGTTTTTAAAATAATTAAAAATTAAAAAAAAATAAATTAATTACTTTCATATATAATATATTAAAATGACGGAATTTCATTTAACGCTGCCACAAAATACAGATTTTAATAAAATACGGGAAGAACCATTTGGTGAACCGATTCGTAGACGGATTCATCGCTATCCGAAACGTATGCTCATTCTATTGCTGGTAGGAATCTCTGTAATTATTTTATATACAAACTGGAATAATGAAATTGATGACATCGTCAATAATATGCAAGTGATAAGAAACAGAAAACACAATCTGCGAAATGAGACCTTAGCGGAAACTTTGGAACGTGAAGTACGTGTACTGTGTTGGGTGATGACTACACCGGAGAACCATAAAACCAAAGCCTTGCATGTTTTGCATACGTGGGGTAAACGTTGTACACGCTTGTTTTTCGTAACTTCTAAGACAGATGACGAGTTTGAAACAATAATCGTGCCAATCGAAGATAAATACGAGTTCTTATGGGGCAAAACGAGAGAAGCTTTCAGATACATCTATAATAATCATTTTGATGAGGCTGATTGGTTTATGAAGGCGGATGATGATACGTAATTAAAATTAATTTATTATAATTGTTAATTTAGTGAAATATATTTTTTAGTTTTGTTTTTGTTGAAAACCTACGTTACTTGCTCTATGAGTACTCACCAGATATGCCGATACACTTTGGTTATAATTTTAAACTTGATAATAAGAATATAAGTGTAAGTGTTTTAAACTTAACAATTATTTATTTATTTATTTATATATTTATGAGTATTAATTGAGATACTTAAAACTTTAATTAGTTGATAAATTTAATTTTTATGTACTATTTTAATTTAATTTTGTTTAAAAATTCCAAGTTAATAGTTTATTTATTTTTTTGTTAACTCTTATTAAAAAACGAAAGTACAGTCCATATATTTTCATCAGAAATTAAAATTTTTTTATTTTTTTATTATATTTAAACAAATAAATTAACAACAACTAGTTATATTGACTAACAAGAAGTTTTTTAATTAATATTATAAATAAGATGAGAAATTAATTATACGTTTAGTTAGTTTAATTAGCTCCAATTTTGATTAATTATTAATGTATTATTTTAAGTTTGCATTTAATAATTTAATAATATAATTAATAATAAGTTAAAATAAGTTAAAATTTTATAAATTTATTATATATGTTATATATAGCATTAATATTTAATATTTTAAAATATTTATTTACAACCATTTACGCAATAATTTAAATTTTATTTAAGGTTTTTAATTAATTTTAATATATGGTATTATATTATATATATCATATTAATATTTTATATATCATATACTATAAATTGGTTGTCAAAATAATTAATTGACTGTAATTATTTTTTACTTAATTTTCATTTAAATTTTTTTATGTATAATTTTTCAAATTTTATTTTCTTACTAGTGTCTGATTTGTGATATCCATGTAAAATTATATTATAGAACTAAAACTATATATAGTATTAAATACTATACAATTTCTTATAAATTTAATTAATAGTCATATATATAATATATATATATTATAATCATATATAAAATTATAATAGTCATATAATATTTTAGTACGAATTTTAGTTCTGAAGAGTCCTCTTTCGTTTAACTTTTATAAATATATATTATAAGTTTTTTTATTTTATAAATTTATTTATTTATTTATATTTTTAATATTAATTATTATTAACATTTATTATAAACAAAATAAAAACTGTATTAATTAAAACGATTATAATGAAATAGTAAATTATTTTAATTAAATTCTTTTATTTATTTGTGCAAATATTACACTTCCGTCGATTATCTTTTTTTAAAATTTTTTAAAATAATTAAATATTTTAAAATTTGGACAACAATTTTTTAAAATAAATTCTTAATTTAATTCAACTTCAAGTCCTACATGTCTGGCGGAGGTGGTTATATCCTTAGTAAAGAGGCGCTTAGTCGTTTTGTAGAAATCGGACTCAACGATTCCACCAAATGTCGCATTAATGAGAACAATAATGCAGAAGATGTGGAAATTGGTAAATGTCTTCTGGCTTCAGGCGTAGTGGCTGGTGATGGACGTGATAAATTTTATAAGCAACGTTTCTCACCATTTGAACCATTCGCTACACTCATACCCAATTATTATGGAACAAAATTCTGGTATTATGGCTATAGCTTTTATCATGTACATAATGTGAGTATTACTAATATTTGAATAAATAAAATTAATGAATTAATAATTATTAATTAATTAATTAAATTGTTTAATTATAATTTAGTGTCGTGATTGCCTTTCAAAATATGTGGTCTCATTTCATTATGTCGCTTCGCATAATATGGATGTATACAATTTCTTAAAATATGATTTGGAAGTGTTTGGATTAGATGAACTAGAAGAGGAGGATGTATTACCGGAAAAATTAATATTTGATGAAATTAAAATACCAGAATCTGATAATAGTATAGAGTATCACTTCTGAATTTATATGTGTAAATATAGATATTGTTTTAAAAATGTAAGTTGTTGACTTTTTAGAGTTAATTTGTACCGAAGTATAGGATTCAGATGATTTGTGGTATTTCATTAATTTTTAAAGCAATATGACTTATTAATATAGAGGTAAAAAATAACACATAACCTTCACAGAGACCTTTCGAATATCTGTTTCAAAAACAACGTTTCGGTTTAATGTTGTCAGTAATATGTGTACCAACACCATCTAGTGACGAATAAGGCGTTTATTTTGTGTTTTACTTAATATAATATTCCGTCCCAATATACAACAATATATAATAATTTATTAAATCTTATTATTCATTATTTTAGTTCAAATTAAATGATTTATCTTATAACTACTGTATGCTTTAAAAAAGACGCCTAAATAGTAATAAATAAATTTTAACCTAAAAAGTCAATTTCTTGAACAAATCCTTATCGAATTAGAACACAGAAGGGTCCTTAAGAGTTGGAAAAATATTGTAAAATCCATAACTTCTAACAAGAAAATTCATGTTGAAACTACGTGTCCAATTGTTGCCAACTTAAAAATTGAAATCAGTAAGGGTTGCATCATTTATGCAATATCCATTGTAGCATCAGCAAAAATAGTACCAGAAAGTAGTCGCAACGACGGCAGCAGGAGCAGAAGCATGAGCAGGAGCAGGAGCAGCGGCAGGAACACCAAGTAGAAAACAAAAGCGACGCACTTATTCATAATAAATGAAGTAGTACGAGTGCATGGACAACAGCTGAACGGGCACAAACTTCATAAAATAACAACTGCAATCAAAGGATATCGTCTTATTTCTGCCATATCTTGTTTGTATTAGAAGAATAGCATTTGTTGTTGTGCACATTTCTCCTTGGATACATACATTATACATACATTGTAAATTTTTTATATATATTCTCTTATACATCCCCCGCTTAATTTTCAAGTGAAACAAAAGCATAACAACAACAGCAACTTTTTGTGCTGATCATAGATGCAGCAATATATTTTTTCCATCTTACAACACTCACATAGCTACTTCGGAGACAATTTATTTATGCTACTTGCAACCTTATTGAAGCTGCGTTGATATTGCAACATATGGGACAGCTAAGATTGGAAGGGCGCTGCATTGAGTGTTAAGCCAGCACTACCAGAAGTTTCCAACAATAGGGTGGAAAGTTGCGTGACTTTCTAGGAAAAGTGATGCACTTTTCGGGTGGTTGTCTATTGCTTAAATAAACTTATTAAAAGTTTAAACAATTTCACACAATTTATTGTTAACTTAAGTTTACATAGTTTTTGCTTATAAGTTAAATACTCGTATAGTACATTTGAATTGAGTTAGTTTTAGTTTTTTTAAAAATTTAAATAATCCGTTTATACTCATGAAATTTTGAGAAATTTATTTTTTTTATTAACTATTAACGATTCTTAAAATGTAGACTATAAATCGTTTTAATATTACATTTAGTACATACTAACATACTTGTAAATAACAAATAAGAGGTAGTAATAAGCAATTTGATTGGAATATTTAAGGTAAAAACGAAGCTATTTTGCAACTCGTTGTCCATTAGATCGGCCACTGTTTTTCTTTTTAGCCGTCTAGGTAGTGTAACCACCTGAAAAAGACTGGATGCTGTAATGCTGACCTGTGTTTACAAACGCCTTTTGTGAGCAACGGCACACCTTTTAGCCAGGTAGTCGACTGTTGGCATACCAAGGTCACAATGGAGATCATTGTTTCTTATGTAGTATAGAGCATTTACGTTATATCGTTACATATTATTTTAAAAGCGCTAGATAGTTACAATGTGTTTCTTGCTGACACAACCCCAGAATTGTAAGCCAAAGTCTAAACCGGCTTCAGTATTTGTTTATAGACCATTAGTTTGTTATAGATTGCCAGTTTAGAGCGCCTACCGATGATTTGATCAAATTTGTTTAGTTTTAGGTTGAACTCTTCTCGCTTTTTCTTAACATACGCTTTCCATCGCAGTTTAGCGTCGAGCGTAATGCCCAGGTATTCGACTTCGTTGGCGTATGAAATTTTTGTGACATCGATATGAATTGATATATAGTTATAATTTCTTAATAAGAAGACTATACCTATGTACAGATTTTCCCTCGTTTAGCTTTATTCGCCATTTTTTTGCCCATGAAACAATTTGGTTGATTGTGTGTTGTAGATTAGCCGTCGAGTCTTCTATTTTCTCGATTGCTAGAACCGCAGTATCATCTGCAAATGTTGCTGTAAACAGTTAGTTTGCAGAGTATAAATCATATATAGTATGGGCATATAGTCATATATCTACATATATAGTAGATATAGTAAGGGCTCAAGAGTGGTCCCCTGCGAGCTGCCTGCGTTTATCTTTTTTAATGGTGAATGGGTATCTTTGTATTTAACACTAAATTACCTGCCGTTTAAATACGATGATAGCAGCTCATAGTATTGTATCTCAGAATGGTTACAGACTCCTCGGGGAGGTTTGCAGATCTGAGGTCAATTATTGCTTAATCTGATGAAGTGATAAATAATAATCCAGTCAAGGCGTAAAGAGAGGTTTTGAGAATACCACGAGTTACGACAGAGTAAAAGTGCTCAAGTGCACTGGCTCAAATAGCTTCAACATAAGTATTGCATAGGCAGTAATGACTTAAGTTTTTGAAGTAAACCTTTATGCCAAACCTTATCGAAGGCTTATAATACATCTAGGAAGACGGCACAACACACTCTCTTCTCTTGCATCGCCAATTTAATGGCATTGTATTTGGTCGATTGTTGAGTGAATTTTCCTGAAGCCGATTTAATGGACAGGAATTAGGTACCTCCTCTCGATTATTGGTAATAAACTTGCTAGTAGTAGTTTTTCAGAAAACTTCGATAAGGTTAGCAATAGAGATATTGAGAAATAGTAAAGTTATTTACGTTTTTAACTTCAATATTACTACATTTAAGTGTTATCGTTTAGGATTTTTTTTGCTTTATATAAAAACTGCTTGTCAGTGCAGTTCACACAATCTCGAATTGTGTGGAATATAAAAGTGCCTCGAGTAATATATGAGAATAAAAATTATATTCCATAAAATGTTCGAAAGGAAAACAAATGTTACAAATTCTATTGCCATCAAAGTAAATATTGTTTTTACCAATTTTATTATCAAAATTCAAATAGTACGAGTAACAATAAAAGCATTTCCTTTTTATCTTTTGTATATGAAATTCAATTCAATTAATCAAAACGACATGTGGTTTCGAGTGAGACTCACCTCAGCTATCGTGGCGAGTGACAATATTGCAGAAGGCATGAAAATATGAAAAATAAAAATTCGCATTTGGCAGGATGCAAATAAGAAACTGAACATTCAAAACCAAAAAAACAAAAAAAAAAAAAAATAACGATCATCATAAAAAACTATTCGATGCAACCATACTTAATACATAAAAATCGTAGATAGTTTTCCAGAGTTGAAGTAATAAAATTTGCAAACAGCTTGATTTTTCTCTTTTTTTTTCTGAGATACTTTTTTTTGAGATACTTTTTTCTGAGATACCTTTTTTTGAGATACTTTTTTTTGTTCGATTTTTTATAAAATTAGTTTTGTGCGCAAATAACAAATGCAAATATTTGCATATATGAAAAAATAAAAAGAAAAAAGTACAAATGTTGCAGTAATGTCTGCCTGACATTTGCAACATTGCCTCAGTCTGGCTGTTGGCTGCCTTGCCATTGGGCTGGCTGTTGGCATAACAACACTCATACGCCCTGAGCAACCAGAATATTCTGCTGTGTAGGTTACGATTTCACGATTTTTTTTCTTTTGTTTTTGCAATCAAAGTTGAGTTGCACATTCAATGCAAAAACAAAAAAAAAACAAAAAAAGTCCTGCAAAACCTCAATTACTGCAGCAGGTAATTTTATCAGTCGCTGTTGAATGAAAGGAACCTTTGATAAAATTTAAGTTTATATGATAATGTTATCAGCGTTATGGAAACTGACACTATGCATCGCTATGCATCTATCATTGGAAAATATCGAGGTTTCATTTCATGCATTTCATTGATTATTTTGATTTCTCGTTTTTTTTTTTGTTGCCTAACTAATAAATTTATTTATTTTCGATATGCAGCCGCAACTGCAATATTTCTGGTTTGAGATATTTGAATTTGAAATGAATTTGAATTTGCTCCTGGCATTTGCATGTGAGCGAATGAGCTGAACGCGTTAGATGTTTATATGCAAGTGTCGGGCAGGTTATGTTTTCCAATGTGTACAATACCTGGTGATGATTTTTACACTGATATTGGAACTAAAAATACACTGTATCTGTGATGATTTGCATAGTTGCTTTAACGCATTAGTGGTTGCGTTAGGCAGCAGCAGCAGCAGTAGCAATAGAAGCAGTGAACAGCGTTGAAATCATATCCTGGAATTTGTTATCCTTCTTTCGACATATGAAATTTTCATTTGCTCTGGGAATTTTAATTGCTAAATAAAAAATTTATGCAAGCATACATTTGTATCTGCAAATGTGAAATAATATTGAAATTAATAAGGACAGAATTCGTTTATACGCATATATCCCTGAATACACATAAGACTTTATGACAGCAAATATTAAAACGATTTTATGTTATAATTTTACGCACCAGACTTTTTTTTTGAAAATATCTATATCGTATAGTTAATTGGTTTTATTGACTACAAATCTTCCTCTTCCATCCAAGTAGTATTAACATGCCGTTTTTCGTTTTCCACACATCGTGATGTATGATGCAAAGTTTTTTTGAAAATAGTTGTATTTTTTATTTGGTTGGTTGATCTGTTTAAGTGACAGCAAATGTTCCTCTTCCATCCAATAGTGTTTCAATATTCCACACATCCGGTTGGTTAGTTGGTTGATTGGTTTTAGTAACTGTAAGTCTTCGTCTTCCATCGAAGTAGAACAAACACGCCGTTTTATTACCACTCCGTTTACAT